GATAGATAGATAGATAGATAGATAGATAGATAGATAGATAGATAGATAGACAGACAGATATACTTCTCTGACAAAAGGTAAATACTTTATGATGGCAATCAAATACAGCTAGCAAGGGACAGGCAAACTCAAACAACCCAAATAAAATTAAATCTCAAAACTAAACATTTCAAAAAATAAATAAATACAAGAAAGAAAGGCTGTGCAGCCTTTTCTTGCACATAATATTAGTTTTGCTGAGTAAATCTACACTTGAAGGCTGGCTTGTGCTTGAATGTAAAAAGTTTTAAATATCCCAATCATAGCTGCCAAGTAAAGTGGTGGCCTGTGCAAATTTGTAGTGAGTGAAGAAAATTGACTAATTAGCCTTTATGTAATTGATTTGTCCAAAACAAAACAAAAAAAAAATTCTGAACTATTCCTACATTTTTAACGCCTTTCTTCTCTCTACGACTACATCCTAAACCCTCAAAAAGGAGGGGCATGAAAGGTTGATCTCATACATTTGTCCTAATCAATAGGGGCTATTCAGGGCATACCCCTCAGGTCAATGAAATTAAGCGCCCAGCTCACACAGAAAGGAATGGGGCTGATACTGGGATAGATGTGGGGAGCTGCAAGATGTCCCCAATATACTTCCCCATTCCAGCTATTTGTTAGGCTGGTTTGACCCACAATGGCTACTATCTAAAAATAGTACCATAGTAAAACTCATCTATAGCAAAATATGGTACATCTGTTTTGTGTTTACATACACACATAGAAGTTTGGAGGCAGTACACTGACACAACATAACCAAACACAGACTGTGATTCCCAACAGAGGCATACACAGCACAAATACATAATGAGACATAGGTTATTCCATACTACTGCGGTTCACTGTTTCAAATTGTATATACAAGTAAAATAGTTTTGGTTTTAATCGTTTGTGGTATTTTTAATGAATGGCAGTACAAATGGAGGAACCACCTTTAGTGCAGCTAGGTTAACACAGCATCTGTGTTTTAATATGAAATGTTTGCCAAATAGCTACTGTATTTACTAATTTGGACTTTACCTACTGTTCTTGGGTGTGTTTTTTTTTAAATATATTTGGATATTGTTTGTATTAATGTAACAGAAACATTCACATCAGTTATAGACAGCTCACATATCTTAACTGAATCTCTTTTGTTTGCTTTTTCAAATCAACTTTGGCTTTTAACCTTTGTAAATTCAAACTGTTTCATCAAGAACACACCCTTTCACAGAGTGATTGTAATGAGTGAGATGTTCTGCTACATAGACTTTCCAGTCATAGACACCTTCCATCATTCTTTAGATACAGAAAATTAAAATAAAAAATTATTGCTTTCTACAGTAAAATTTGTTTTTACACTCAAATTTGTGTGTGTGTCTTTACATGTTCACAAAATATCAGGGTTTTCAGAAACAGTGCAGTAGCAGACTAGTTTGTGCATTTACACAAACACTTTGCACCCTACGACACAAAACAATAAAACACTTTAAACTTTTTGTTCCTATGTTTGTTTTTATCTTATCCTGATCATGTCCTAATTAAACATTCATCATCCGCTGACATGGTTAATGGTATAAAAATACAATTGTTAGTTTTTTCTCTAGCCTGTTCTGTTTTTAACACATTGTTGATGTTCTTGTAACCTATGGTGTGGCATGGGATTTCAACATTTATGTTGTAATTCAATAGAAAAAAAATACAGCAAAAACTGAAAATGTATAGATATTTGTTTCAATAACTAGAGAAATGAAAGAGTAGTGTAAAAAGTGCCTTAGCATGCAATAAAAGTTGTTTTGCTGGCCACCATTCTTTTGATGGGTTTTATAGCTAAACCCATTCTGTTTCCAGATATGAGTCATTCTTGGTTAGAGAGGATTAGTCATGTGACAATAAACTGAACACGTTTCATACAACTCTTTTACAATTGCAACATTTCAACTCTAATGCAGCCCACAAGCCTAAAGGCATAGTTTTCTCATTTGACATTGCTCAGCTCATTCCAGTAGCAGATATCTGACATATCTACACAGGACAGCCACAAATCATTGTTGACATTGATGCTGAGGTGCTGAAAAGGGTATTATAAAAATATAATGGTTGAGTGGATGCGTCTATGTCATGGCAGAAAGCTACTGTCATAAACTGACAGTCGTACGAGTCATTAAATTATAGTTTACACTATAGATGTTTAAATTGTGATAGTGGAGAGAAAAAAAAAATCACTATAAACAATGATATGTGCTGAAAACACACCAATTCAAAATCAAGTTCTGAGGCTATGATGAGGCAGCTTCAAATGAACAAGGTCTGCAAAAAAAAAAAAGACTGACAGATTAGCTTTTGGTTCCTGGAGGCAGCGGGATTATCCCAGAGAGGCTAGTGGGGAATCATGTCAGCTGCACTCTGACTAAAATCTCATGCACAGCACACATATGAAACGCCATGTGCAAACAATCTTTGCATGTCCTGGTCTAGCAGAAACACCAGGTAAGGGCAGTTGTAAACAAAAGGCCAGAAGAGGATGAACAACATTTGTGTAAAGTGTGTCTCTGTAATCCAGGTTTCTAAGAGCGGAATCACATGTTCTCAACAAACACTAACAATTGGGATAAATTACATGCAAAAATGGTTCATTATATATTTCAGCCAAGAACTCTGCCAAATACAAAAATAAAACAAAGGTGGGAGACACAGTTCATCTGAGAAGGCCAGAGGGTGTATCTGTCTATTGGTAAGTGTAGATCTTTCTCTTGAAAATAAAAATAAAAAACTTTATACATACAAGAGGAGGGCCATACCAGGTTTTATTAATAGGCTCCCTCTTTGGACTATAAAATTAAATACACACACGCATGTGTGATATATATATCTATATCTCTAGATCTCTATAGAGATCTCTATAGAGATCTCTATAGAGATCTATAGAGATCTAGAGATATATAGATATATATCACACATCGATCGATCGATAGATTCATATGTATATATAGCTGTATTCAATATAGCTGTATTCAGTTTAATGTTAATGTGTCATTTTTTTTTCAGTAAAAAGACAATATGAGGTATGTTTGTGTTTTTGGCATAGGTTTTTTTTTTTTTTTAGAATTTCTTTAGAAATATATAAAAAAAAAACTCACAGTAAAAAGAAAGAATGTGACCCATATTACAATAAAAACAAATTTTTTTTTAAAAAGCAACTCCAGAAGCCTCTGAAGAATTAAACTACCTTCTTATCAGCACACTAACAGGTTTTGGTCCATCAAGCTCAATTAGCTAGCACTTGGTGCAGTGTATTAGAGGACCATGCTCTCAGCACGAGACCTGCATCAACAGAACCAGGGAGATGACAGACAAGCCGGGCCCACAAAGACCTGATTGTGGAGAGACTGTGAATGGCTAAAGAAGAAGGAAGACTTATGTTCTCAGGGGTTTTGAGATGTGGAAGATAACAATCTCACAGCTGAATGAGAATGCTAGCAAGTCCCCTGAATGAATAACTTTCATTGAGACCAAAATAGTGAAATGAGCAAAACAGAAAAAAAAAGTCTATAAATTAGTTTTAAATGACTTATTATTCTAATGAAGTTGAGAGTGCACCATAACTAATATGTTGCTTCCTTTTGCATCTCCTAAGATTAACAGACAAGAGCAGACAGCTTGCAGCTTGCTTTTGACAGAGCTGCTGTTTTGCTTGGAAGGGAGAAAAGATAAATAAGAAGTGTTTAGGCATGTTTTGATAAAACGGTTTGAGTATTCCTGGATTGTAGGGGTTTTGAATAGCATAGCAGTGGTTTTGGAGATGCTCCACCTCTTGTAACTTTATGGACATACAAGACATGTCAGTACTGAGACTTCAGTGATAGTCAATCATTCAGTGATGGGAAGAATGCCTGCTGGCATGGTGTAGTGTACTCACAGATGGAATTAACACAATCTTTTGCCAACCTTATGTTGGACCTATTCCCTTCTGTCACACCTAAATATCAGTGAGATGCAATACTGTGAATGTTCCAAATTTAATCATGCTTATTTGTCCAGTTGAGATTTATAGTAGTCCCTCGTTTATGGCGGGAGATCCATACCCTGAAGCCCCATGATAAGTGAAAAACTGTGAAGTAGGGATAGAAGTACAAGTAGTAGTTTATTTTAGTGTGTGTGTA